ACAGAATACAGAGAGCAGCTGCAGCATATTAACATCAGAGTAAGAAAGCCAGTGCTAGGGCAACTGCCTCTGGGACTTCCCTGGTGAAAGAAGAGTCCTTGGGCTTCTGAGGAGTCAAGTTTAGTCCACAGGATCATACATCTGAGGAAAGCCATGGGAAATTCCCTGAGAAACACCTACCAGTTGGAGACCATACCCACCAATGTTCCCTGTGGGAACATCCAGCTTCCTGCCCAGGGCTCTTCCTGAACAGTCTCTCCACCAGAACTCAATGGTACGCCAGAAGTTATCAGCCAATGCCAGAAACAACCAGATGGCTACAGGCCCACAATTAAAAAAAGCCAGAGCAAGATGGCATCTCCAAAATCCAGGCAAGCATCTCTGGCTATCCTAACCCAGATGAAACACAAGGAAGTAATGTTAAATCTATGCTAGGAAGATGATAATGGAGATGAATAAAATCCATAAAGAAATACAGGAAGATACAGGCAAACAGATTGAGGCCTTTAGAGAGGAAATGAATAAATCACTCAAAAAAATACAGGAAAATGCAAACAGGTAAAGGAATTAAACAAATCATATAAAGAAATTCAGGAAAACACAAACAGGTAAAGGAAAGCAATAAAATGGCTCAAAATCTGAAGATGGAAATGAAAACAATAAAGAAAACACAAACTGAGGAAATCCAGAAGAGAACTCAGAGAAGAAAACAAGAACTACAGAGTCAAGCATCACCAACAGACTACAAGAGATGGAGGAAAGAATCTCAAGCGTGAAAGACACAATGGAAGAAATTGATGCATCCATCATAGAAAATGCTAAATCCAAAAGATTCCTGGCACAAAACATCCAAGGAATCAAGGACACTTTGAAAAGAAGAAACCTAAGAATAATAGGAATAGAAGAAAGTGAAGATTCACAGCTCCAAGTACCAGAAAATATTTGCAACAAAATCATAGAGGAAAATTTCCCAACCTTAAGAAAGAGATGCCTATAGGCATACAAGAGGTTTACAGAACACCAAATAGATAAGATCAGAAAAGAAAATCCTCCCACAACATAATAATCAAAACACTAAATGAATAGAACAAAAAAATTTTTTTAAAACAGCAAAAGAAAAAGGCTAACTAACATATAATGGCAAACCTATCAGAATCACACCTGACTTCTCAGCAGAGACTATAAAAAAACAGAAGGGCCTGGGCAAATGTCCTGCAAACCCTAAGAAACCACAGATGTCAGTTCAGACTACTATACCCAGCAAAATTTTAAATCACCATAGATGGAGAAAATAAGATATTCCATGACAGAATAAAATTTAAAAAATATCTATGCACAAACCCAGTCCTACAGAAGACACTAGAAGAAAAACTCCCACCAGAAGAGGTTAACTACAGCCCAAACAAACACAGCATATAAATAACTTCGTACAGCAAACCAAAAGTAGACAAGCACACAAACACACTACCACAACCAACATCAAAATAAAAGGAACTAACAGTCACTGGTCATTAATATCTTGCAACATCAATGGACTCAACTCACTAATAAAATGACACAGATGAACAGAATGAATGCATAAACAGGACCCAACGTTCTGCTGCATACAAGAAACACACCTCAGCCACACTCTCACATTACCTGAGAGTAAAAGTCTGGAACAAGGTTTTCCAAGCAAACAGACCAAGGACGCAAGCTGGAGTAGCCATTCTAATATCTGATAAAATATACTTTCAAACTAATCAAAAGAGATGAAAAAGGACACTTCATACTCTTCAAAGAAAAATTCTACCAAGATGACATTTCAATTCTGAACATCCATGCCCAAGTATAAGGACACCCACATTTGTAAAAGAAACATTAATAAAGCTTAAACCACACATCAATTCCCACACATTCATAATGGGAGACTTCAACACCCTACTCTCACCAAAGAGCAGGTAAACAAAACATAAAATAACAAAAAAATAATGACAGTAACATGTTGTTAATTAAATAGATCTAACATACATCTACAGAACTTTCACCCAAACGCAGAAGAATACACCTTTTTCTTGGCACCTCACAGAACCTTCTTCAAAATTGATCATATAGTAGGTTACAAAGCAAGCTTCACCAGATACGGGAACACTGAAATAATACCATATATCTTATCAGACCACAATGGACTATAGCTGGACTTCAACAACAACAGAAATAACAGAAAGCCTTTGGGCACATGGAAATTGAGCAACTCTCTACTCAATGACAACTGGGTCAGGGAAGAAACAAAGAAAGAAATTGAAGACTTCCTGAAATTCATTAAAAATGAAGGCACAACATACCCAAATGGAACACAATGAAAGCAGTGCTAAGAGGAGAGTTCACAGCACTAAGTCACTAAGTGCCTTCATAAAAGGATAGGGGACATCTCATACAAGCAACTTAATGGCATACCTGAAAGCCCTTGGAAAAAAAAAAGAAGCAAATACACTCAAGAGGAGTAGATGGGGGTGTAATATATGAGAAAAGAATTTTTAAAAAGAAAGAAAAACCTTATTTCAAATGAAAAAATATATATACCCCATATCCTTAGATTTTCTCAGAATTTGGATCCTGTTTTATGAAAAAGGCCAAAGAATCTACCAAAAAAAAAAAAAAAAAAAAAAGGATACGGAAGCTTACAATACTTTAAATTCTATTACTTATAAAATTGAATTATTGACCACAGATAAACATCAATAATGAAGTTGCTACATCTTTAAATGACAGACTGCTGAGTTCTTTGCAACAAGCAGTACTGGTTTACTTTTACTTGCTTAGGTTTGTGTTTCTGACTGAAAGAGTCTTTTCTCCAGGCACTTATTTTCAGGCTAGGGATGTAGCTCAGTTGGTTGCACACCATTCGGGAAACCCAGTATTCAGGCCTTAGCATCACACGAGATTTGGGCATATTGGAACAGGCCTATTATCCCAGCTTGGAAGATGGAGCTAGGAGGACCAGAGTTTCAAGTTCATCCTCAGCTCTAAAGTGAGTTCAAGCCCAACTTGGGTTAGATAATCTCTACCTTATAAACTAGTAGGGATTTTAAATTTTCTTTTTGGTTGGGTGAACAAATATCATGAAATCAAGAAGTAGTCTGCTGTCATGATGTGTTGAAAGAAGGGCAAGAAACTGAATGCACTTGCAGGTTGAATTTGATATAAGGCATTTTTGCCAGAATGCTTAATTCATAGATTTTGTATGTTTTCATATCTTTCAAAGGGAGTTTTGCTGGAAAAGCAGCCCTTAACATTGATTCTTGGATCTTGATAGCATTATAATGAAAACTGGTAAATTGTCCTAAGTTATTCTACAGGTCTAGGAATTAAATATTGCTGTTTCATTAGTTATTGGCAATGTTATGATGGGTGGGAAGTTAGTGACATGTACAGTTAACATAAATAGTTAACCTTGTTCCAGAGTCTGTGAGGGGTGTCCCTGAAGTCAGTAAAGAAAAAATGACTTACGAGCACGATTATAATTTTTAGTAGGTACAATTTTGGTTTTATTGCAAGGCACACAATCATATACACAATGTATGATTAGTCTCTAACACTATAAGACATAAATAATATCTGTATGGTAAAGAACACACTTTTCATTCTGAGAGCAAAATTTTCATGGCCTGAGCCAATTTGTAACCTTGAGGGATTTTCATATTGATACCAAGCCATCAAAACAACTCTTATTTGAAAAATAAACCTTATAGCATGAACACACAACCTTGTCATAGATTTTCCTTAAAATTCTTTCATTTAAAACTTGTATTCTTTCACTTTACTCATCTTACACCCCATGAGATGGAATATCTATAAATTATTGGATACAAGCTTAATAACTGCCTCACATATCCATCACAAAATTAAACATTTTCTCAAAAATTCTTGATTTCTCTTTAAACATTTTTTTGTTTTTCAAAAGTTGCCACTAGCGTGGGAGGTTGGAGTCCAGAAAGAGTTGATCCCATGATCGGCGACATAGCCAGCAACACCTTCTTTAATGGAAAAGCCTTCTGGGAAACTCAGATGTGGTGAGCCACTTGAGGGCTGCTGGGTTAGATAAAAACACTGTGATGATCAAGCATGGCAGTAGGATCACTGCTTCCCAGCATCAAGCACATGTGCACACACGCGTCTACACCTGCTCTCTTTCACATATACACACACATGCCTATAGTTCAACCATAAAGCACACATATGTAACTGATTCTCTCCTTCCAGTGTCTGAGTCTGTTTATCAGTCTTTAAACTAGAGCCACCGAAAGGCTCTCATCTATTTGCTACTTTCAGTCTGAAGGTCATGAGGAAACTCAGGATACATCTCGGGGAAGTGAAGCTACTTACTTTATATGACTCCCTCCGTGGGATTCAGATTTATGTATCAATAAATGCAGGAAGCAGAACTCTTCAGAGAGCATATGGAGTGTTAAAGAAGTCACTATTATGACTCCATTCTGTGATGGTGTAGTGATTACATCATTTTTTGTTCTGGGGGAAAATAATCTACCAACAGCTTCGGTATCTTACCGTACTGTAGAAGCTTTTCTATTCCGTTTCAGTGGGATCTGTCCCAGAACTGTGTTGTCCACATAGATGTCTCATATGTATAACAGCCAAAGTTTTTACCTATTGGGTTAAGGTTGCCCAATATTTAAGCCATTCTTATCTATATATTCAGTTATAAGAATGCAAGGGTAGTGACTCTCTCTTAAAACAACAACAACAAAAAAAAAAAACATGCCCTGGTCTGGCAAGACAGCTCAGTGAGGAAAGGCACATTACACCTGATAATGCAAGCTGGATGATGTGAGTTCCAGCCCCAGAATCCATGTAAAAGAAAAGGAGAGAACTGACTGTGCAAAATTGTCCTCTGACCTCTGCATGGATGCCATAATGCTCACCCTTATGTGGATAATAACAATAATAATAATAACAATAATAATAATAATAATAATAATAATAATAATAATAATGCTTTTTACAAGTTTGTGTCCACTCTAGGGCATGCATCTGTACCTTTTTTATGTGTCTGTCTTCCTCTGTTAGCCTTCGTGCTTAAATCTACGTGGATACCTTTTGCTTCATAAATTCCAGCTTTGTGCCATTACAAAAGAATTCCAGAACATCAAGTAAATTTAAGAAATACTCAGGAGAACATTCCATTTCCATTAGGAAATGTCTCTGCAAGGTCACTGTTCACCACTGAGCTCAGTAGCATAAAAGTTTCAAATGGAGATAACCATAATGGCAGCGACTCTGCAGAGTGTCTCATGCCTTCCTTCATACAGGCTTCAGTCTACAGAGAGAGAGGGAGCAGCACCAGGGAGCCAGCTGGTGGTGAGAACTCACAGATGGAACTCTGCCTACAGTATTGAGGTCCACACATTAAATGCTCTATTAGACTCCAAGGGGTGCTGTCCTGACCATGAATAAGCTTAGAAATAAGCATTATTTTTAAATTATCTTTTTCTTCTTTCAAGGCAAATTACAAAAAAAAACCCCTCATTATCTCTGAACTATAAGTTTTAAAGAACAGAAGAAGGGAATTTATATGTCATTTGGAAGATTTAGCAAAATTATCCTAAATGGGCTTCTCAGACAGGAGTCTCCCCAGGTACACCCTTACCCAGGACCATGCAAGTTCTGCTTAGCTACCTCAAGTCTTGTTTCCTTCTTCAGCATACATGTGGGAACAATTCTATTTCCTGTAGAAAACCAGAACATAATATTTTATGATTCACATGGTCAAAACAACTTCTTCTACCTGAGTAGAGAATCTGACATTAGGTGCGTGTCTACCAGCAGATGCTACCACAAAGTAGAGTCAACCAAAGCTACCATCTTAGAGTAAATTTAAATGCTGGGGATTTGTTAATGCCAAGTTATGAGCAGTGTTAGAGTGAATGATGTTTGGAGAATCCAGAGGAAATCACACCATGACAGAGTCCCAGAGGGTAGCTTATATTCTAGCAAATTAGCTCAGCATCAACTCTGCATGTCTCGAGAGGTATCACTACTGCACCCTCGAGAAATGTGCTGGCTGGACAGGAAGCCTAGTCCTTATATATACACAGGCTACTATTTACAGATGAAACTACACAAACTTTGTTGGTATTTACGCTTCATACTTCTTAATATCAGTTCATGTTTTCTCAGAAGATTATCTACCTGAATAGCATGCTAAAAACCAAAGATCTTATGTAGCAACTGTAGTTTTCAAGGCATTAGACACTGTGAGAAAAGAGCATTCACAACTTCAAAGGAGTTCACTAATGAAAGATGATGCTTTGTACTACTGTGCGGTTGTTCAGCATCATGAGTATGAATCCAAGTTCTTCCTAAGATGTACTCTTTTCACACATGAGACATGCTCACCCAGCAGACAGTGGGCTGAATTTGAGCCTTGAGATGGCCTCATTCTAACTGAGGTTGTTTCTGCCAGTGTTAACAGGCAGGTTGGGTGTCATCTAAGCTTTGGATCCAGAGGTTTTGCTTTGCTTTTTTTTCCTGTATTTTCTTCTCCAGAGCTTTGGAACTATGTTGCATAGGAAGGCCACACAGATGGAGGTACACTAATCCAAAGGAACCAGAAGAAAGAGTCTTGGCTTTGTTTATCAAAGGGTTGAAATTACATTGGCTTCTCTGTCCTAGGAAAGAGGTGTATTGTTGCCAGGACCTGCTGTGCTCTGTTCTTCAGACTTCCTGCCCCTACTCAGCTAGATCACTAATGCTTCCTGCACCTTAAGACTTCAGAGCATGACATTTCTAAATTATGGAATGTCTCATCTTTCCACTTCAGACTGCAGTGGTAATCTGGGTTAAGCCAAGATCATTGAACTCTTCTCGACCTGGAGAGCTGTAAGAAGACATCTCCACGACTAGTCATACTGGCTTATTCATCCCATCCACATCCCTCAGGGCAGCAGGATCCTGAACTGTGTTTCTGACTCTGTTGGTGCTCTGTCGCTCCACTCGCATCTTAATAGGGAAGCAGAAATCCCTAAAACACCGCTTGAAGTTTTCATCAAGAAAGGCGTAGAGGACAGGATTCAGGCTACTGTTGGTATAACCCAAGGCAATGCAGAAGTAATAGCTGGAGAGGGCGGCCGTGCTGTGGGAGGTGCTGCCCAGAGCCTCCACCAAGATAAAGATGTGGATCGGAGTCCAACAGACGATGAAGACTGCAACCACTACCAGCACCAGCTTGGTGATGCGGCGGAGATTGCGGTCCTTCTCTCGCGAGCCGGAGAGGAGCCGCACGCTCTTCAGGCGCAGGATCATGAGGGTGTAACAGACGATGATGATGAGGACTGGGATCACAAAGGCAAACACAAAGACACAGATCTTCATGAAGAGGTCCCACCAGGAGTAGTCATCATCAGGAAACTGCAAGGAGCACTCGATGACATCCACATCTGTCAAAGGTGACCAAAGTAAAAAAAAATAAAAAATAAAAAATAAAAAATCACAGAGAGTCCTGTTATTGTCAGCACTGTGACTGAAGAATTATACTCTAATTCTAATACCGTTGTTTCCAGAGGTCCAAGATATAATGAGATTGAACTGGGAGCAGAATAGCAAATCAAAACCTGATGGTTCTCTATACTAGGCATTCTACAAGAAAAAAAAAAGTATGGAGTATGGACCAAGGTGTTTGTTGTCAAACACAGAATTCTGCATAGAATAAACAAGCAAACCTGGCTAGCAATGTGATTTGCCCAGCTCTGAAGGTTGGCTTGGTTTTGATGGCTTTTTGAGGGGCTAGATCACTAATGCTCCCCTGCACCTTAAGACTTCAGAGCATGACATTTCTAAATTATGGAATGCCTTGTCACTTTTAGTGTGGCACTTATTTGTATATTTGTGTGTTAACAACTTTCCCATATCCACAGCTATGACAAGAGCTAACATTAAAAACAAGTTAACATTTATTTCTAATAAATGACTAAGCATTTTTGATATCTCCACTTAATTTAACAAATACAAATTGTCTTAAAACACTATTTACGTGGGTCCATAAGAATTGATAATGAAATATGTCTAAACATGACTCAGCTGTTGTGATTTAATCCTACCACTCCGCTCACTGTGATTAACAACATCACTGAAATGGGAACAAAAAAAATTTGAAGGTAAACGAAGACAAACCAAGAGAAAGCAATAAGCATCTACTTCAACTTTCACTTTAGCATTAATGTGAAATGATTTCAAGTATTTTTTTTAAATCATCACCATTGTTATAGAAAACAAAATATTAAACAACTTTGGTGCCATGCAACTCTGAGTTTAATATAAAGGTCTGCTTAATTAATAAAAAATAAATAAAAGATTAAAAAAAAATATAAAGGTCTGTACTTGTCTATTAAGTCTGTTAAACACATTCATTCTTGATTTATTGATTTTAGTTTGTGTGTAGGAGTGTTTTGCCTGCATGAATGTATGTACACCAGGTATGTACAGAGGTGAGGATTTGGATTCCCTGGAACTGTAGTTACACATTTTTGAGTCACCATACGAATGCTGTGGAACTAAATGTGAGTTCTCTGCAAGAGCGTCAAGTGCTCTTAACTGCTAAAACATCCATAAACATTTTCTTGACCATAGAAAGTATGTTTTTAAGACGGTGGAGTTGCTAAACCTTTGCGGGTCTTTTTCTTTTTTAATTTTAATTTTTATATTAATTACAGTTTATTCACTTTGTATCCCAGCTGTAGCCGCTCCCTTATTTCCTCCCAATCCCAACTCCCCTTCCTCATCTCCTCCCTGTTCCTTTCCAAGTCCACTGATAGGGGAGGTTCTCCTCCCCTTCCATCTAGCCCTAGCTTATCAGGTCTCATCAGGACTGGCTGCATTGTCTTCCTCTGTGACAGGTCTCTTTTTTGCAGAATTCTCAGTTGGAAAGTCACTTCAGAGACATTTATCAGAGGTTTCTTTTGTTGTTTCTCTCCCTGACAATGTGTGGCCCTTGTCTATGTTCTAATCATATTATTTACTTCACAAGGTCCATGCCTAGAGCACATGCTACAAAGAGAGAATAAATTTTTCAAGAAATGCTTAAGAATACACAATGTATACACAAAACCCTTGTGTAGTTAATATGGAAGAGTTGCTCACTCATCAAATTGAGCAAAGATGATGTAGAACTGATGAAACTTGGATGCGTCATTTAACTATGAGGGCTTGTTTCTCCTAAATTGTCTCAGGCAGTTGGAGCTTAGCACATATTTGATTATTAGGTAAAGTGATCGACAGATGCTATGTTTTAAAATGTGTATGAAACAAACATGAACTACAAAGTGGAAGTGGCTTCCAAATGTGCCTGTGGCACTGAACTTGTGCCATCAAAGAGGAAGAATCACAAAATGGCACCCATTTGTTTCAAACATTCTGTTTCTGAAAGAAGAATACATGTTCAAATTGAATTACCTTTATAATTGCCTCGGTTCAAAAAAATAGTGTTTCTTCACATCCTATACCTTTGTTCTCAAATGCAGGATCTAAAGAAGTTGACCCCATTGAAGTTCAGGCTGTGTTTCTTTTCCCTTTAAGCGCAGTCGCATCACAGCTCCCATTGGCACATAGTCCAAAATCTATGACTTCCATAATTATAATTAGATTCAACAGCCAAACTAAAGATTTTTTTAGGGTTTTTTTTGTTTTGTTTTGTCTTTTTAAAAATTTTTTTAAATGAAACTATAATTATATCTTTCCCCCTTTCCTGTCTCCAACCCTCCCCATGTATACCCCTTTCTCTCTTTCTCCCTCTGTCTCTCTCATTAATGGTCTCTCTCTAATGAATTGCCTTTATTACTTCAACTTTTGTTACATTCATATGCATTATATTCTTAAATACATAAATATAACCTACTCAGTCTGTGTAATGTCGCTTGCCTGTGTGTTTTCAGGGCTGATCTTTTGGTATTGAGAACTATTCCCTGGGGAAGATTATTTCTCTCACTCTCAGTAGCATCCCTTAGCTGGCTATAGTTCTTTGTCTATAGTTGCCTACTACAGTACTGGTGATAGGCAGATTATGAGTTACTGAAATAAATAATGCACACATATGTGAAATATAAGTATTCAATATGTAATACCCATAAAGTAAAAATACTGCAGTATAAGAACCCTCACTATTATATGGATGTTATCAGCAAGCCACAACCTCTGAGGATCATGCTGATGACTGATGGTGCTAACATGCTGAAGAAAGAACAGTATCAGAGGGCCAGCGCTGACCAGTTAGAAAGATGACGTAAAACACTCCTCCTGGTCATGCAACAGTCATAACAGGCAGCAAGGTGCAGCATTACAAAAGGAATGCAGTCCACAAAACTCAGCTTTCATAATATAAATAAAACCCTTATTTGAAAAACAGAGAAAGGAAAGAACAGTTCTCCTATAAGACCACTTTAGTTTTTTCTTTTGCTGCACAAATGAATCCTCGCTGACACTGGTGCATCTTTTCTTCTTTTACATCTCTGCATTCATCTCTAGCAAAATCTCTCATCATTTCTTCTTTCAAAAGCCTAAGTGAAATCCATTTTTTTCTGAGGGTACCACTCTCTGACAAATGGTAGAAGTGATGTATTGGTTAAATCTACAAGTATAACAGGAAATATGAAGCCTTGTCTTTAATTGCCCTGGAATGTTATCTATCCCATTTTACTACTCAGCTCCTTCTCATCCCAGGGTGTGTAGAACATTGCTGCCGAATGGGGCTGGTGATGCACAGACACCTGAGCCTCAGAAGTTTCTTGCAATTTATTTCCCCTTAATGTAGGCATAAAAAAAGATTCCTCTGTGTGATTAATCATCTTTATAACTGCTTGTTTCATAAACTTGACAAGTGTCATAGTCCATCACTTGCTGTAGCTGGGCTGAGAACTCACAACATAATTGAGAGAAAAATAAAACAGAGAGAGAGAGAGGGAGAGAGGAAAAGAGTCACATATAATAGAACACCAAGAATGACCCCCTCATGTAAGAGATCAACTTGAGGTGACAATGTGTTAATTCAGGCTGGGCTGTGAGAAATGTGCCACTCCAGTGAAGGTGTTGATGATGGAGGCTATGAATGTGTGGTAAGAGATAAATCGCAACTCTACTTTCCATTTCAATTTTGCTGTGACCCTAAAAGTTCTCTAAAACCATGTAGAATGAACAAAAACAACCCACCCATGTACCATGTAAGATAAGCAATGATTTTTAGTACCTGTCCTTAAATATGTCCTGAAAAGTACTTGCTATACATATTCAGTTACCTGTACTCACAGGTGCTACAAAACTCTCTTATAAAAGCATGCATCTGGACAAAATGCAAGAGCATTAGATAGCATTTATACAGTTCAAAGGCTGTTTACCTGATTCCCTCTAGGGAATATCTATTAAGATCAAACATTTTCCACAGCTTCTTCTTTTTTTTTTTTTTTTTTTTCTAAAAAAGCAAAACTCTCGAGACACTTGTTCTCACCTTGGTTGCAGGTCAGACTAACACTACACTACAGCTTGATTAAACCAGACTCTTCAAGGGTGGGACCCAGGCAATGGTGTATTCTAAAGTACCCAGTCAACTTCATCTTTCATCCCAATGTGATAAACACAGGGAAGGTGTAGTTACCCTGTTTGTATAAGGTGAGAACTGTAAGCACCTATGAACCTGATCATGAGCTTACCTAAACCAATGAAGAAAAGATATATGAGAAATAACCTTAAAGCAAGAAGGGGAAAAGAGTCCTCAGGTGTCTCTCATAATTTAAAGAGAGAGAGAAAAAAAAAAGAAGTCAAGCCATGGGATTGTTATGTTGTATTTTTAAAACCTTCATGCCTTTGGTTCCTTATTCAATTCTCATCCTTCCAGATTCCTTTTGGTCTCAGAAATAAGGATTTTGAGTATGATGTGATCAGTGACAGAAGGCCACTGAGCACACACCTTTCTTGTTATGGCCTTTGAAAATACTGCCAAAATTATTCACCCTCACTTTCTGGTTGGATTGCCACATCATTATTTAATTGTCTAGGCTACTAGTTTCCAGAGAGTGTTTTGTAGAATGGTAACCTCAACCTTAGTGTCTCAAAAGCCTCTATAGAAATAAGGGGAAAAGAGAGATAAAAAGGAAGTCAGGGTATATAATATAGTCTTCTCTCTCTGGATTTACAGTCTTTCCAAGTTCACTGAGCACTTCAAGAATCAGAGATTTCTGGGGTCTATGCTCTGACACTGGCATAATCATACTCCATGTTTAAAGGTGGAAAGAACACAGAATTGTATAGTTTCTAATCTTTCATGCATTTAGAAATTAAATTTTCATTGCTTTTTGTTTGCTTGTTTCCTAATAAATATGTGTTCCACTCATTCCCAAAACAAAAGTTCATCTAGTCAAAAATTCTATTTTTATATGGGATGAAATAGTGGCTCTTACCTTCCCTGACTTTGGTGCCTCCAAGGACTATTGCTGATATGCCAACAGATGATGACAGGAGCCAGATGCAGATGTTGATGATCTTTGCTTTCAGAGGCGTTCGGAAGTCCAAAGCTTTCACCGGGTGGCACACGGCAATGTAGCGATCCACACTCATCATGGTCAAGGTGAAAATGCTGGTAAACATGTTGTAGTAGTCAATGGAGATGACGATCTTGCACAAAACATCTCCAAAAGGCCAAGAATTCATCAAGTAGACAGTGCTCTGGAAGGGCATGGTGGTGGTAACCAAGGCATCTGCCAAAGCCAGGTTAAATATGTAGATGTTAGTTGCTGTCTTCATCTTCGTGTATCTGAAAGATAAGAAGCAACATTTCTTTCTTTCCTCTGTAGCTTAAACCTAGAGGGTGAATGAGAGTGACAGCCATTTAATTATTAAGTTTGCTTTGCTCTTACTTTTTCTTATGCACTCAGTGAATTAACAGATTGTATAAGGACTGCCTAGATGCCAGGGTAGTCAGAAAGATGAGTAAAGTCCTCAGGCTTCATTAAGTTTTGGCTTAGTGCTTTGCTTAAGAAAAAATTAAATAAAAAAAGCATCAATAAATAGATGAATATACAGAAAGGCTGGAATACTGTAGAGGCCTTCATGTCATAAGTGATTTATTTTAATCCTTCACAGAGGATCTTGATTTAAGTATTTTTGAAATATTTTTTCTTTTGTTTGTATAAACCGAATACCCTTTTCCCTTCATGGTTATTTTAAGAAATCAATTGTTGTAATTATTTAACCTTTTGAAAGCACAAAATGGTGTTTAATTTTAAATTATATTCACCTGCAGTGACCACAGCACAATTAGACCCATTGATTTCTTCTTGCCAATATGCCACCAACTTGTCATTGTAAGTACATTATATAAATAAAACCGAACAAGATGAGTAATATTTGATACAGCAACATCACAGGAAATACGAGTATTTCTGTCTTTCTCTGTCCCAGTCTTGGGCAGTTTTTAAAGTGCACAACTGTCTTTCTTGCCTGTCAGTCAAGGGGACAGTAATGTTCAAGATGTATCAGCATCTTGCCTGGAAGGTGAAATCATTCTCTACACCACAACATGAAGTTCAGAGCAACACCATTTTCACTCAAATCTGAATCAGCAGAATTGTTCTTTGAAAAGAATGCTTCCTCCAGAATCCATTGGGCAGAAAATACCTATAGTGTCTCACCTCTTTGAAGCAAGGAGGAAAAGTCTGTGTGTTAGTTTCTTTCCATGTACCTCAGATTTATGAGCCTTATCACAATGAATTCATCTCTGTCCCACTAGACACATACTTTTTTTTTTCATGAAAAACATGTCAGTTACATCAGTGTGATAAAATGATGTTTTCCAATGTGACGTTCTTGAGTCTAAACTTCCTGAGTCAGTTTAGGACATATATAAGGACAATAAGTTGGGAGCCTAGGAGAGAAGCCAATATAGGGTCTGGCTCACCACATCTGGTATGCAGGGATACAGTCTGCCCTCAGCATCCACTGTTCGTTCGCCCTCTCTGCCCTTCTCTTGTGTGAAGTGAGATATGGTATTGGCTGGGTGAGCACTGCAAGGACTGGAAAGAAAGCCAACATGCTCTGGTCTCCATCTTCATGGCCCATTTCTAACAGAGTAATGCAATCCAGGGAGTGGGGAAACACATTCCACTCAAATGGACATTTTACTCAAATAATGTTAAATGGCTTATATGCTTTAGAATGTGATTAAAGCTCTACAAGCAAAGAATCACTATATCTAACTCAGATAACTAAGCAAGCACAGTTATGTCATATTTCTAATGAGAAAATATAGAATGCAATATATATGAATACTGCCTGCTTTAAAATGTGGTTTCATGTTTGAAAAATACATGGTATAGACATACTTCCCTGTAACAAAATCTCTAATGCTAATAGAAATTCTAGCAGTGATAACTTTGGGATGTACTCATGTGTTTTGAGTCTCTGAGGGTCCTGTGCCTTCATGAAGTGATACTGTCATCCTTTGCTTTATAAAGTTTTACATACCTGGGTCCTAGTATGCTAGTCAGTTTTACATCATGTTGACAAATACTTGAACTAGTCAACTTGTCTGTATAAAGAATTATTTCTGTTTCCTTCCTTGGAGGTTTCAGACCAAGCCTTGCCGGCTTTATCGCTTCAGTCCTATGGTAAGGCAGCATCTCAAGACAAGAGTGCAGGGCTGAGAAACACCATTCATTTTACCATCAGTAGTGAAAAATATAAGGAGGGGTATGAGATCCCAAGACCCCATTTAAGTGCACACCTAAACTAGTCCAACAACCTCCAACTAACCTGCATCCATAAAGGTCTAAGGGCACATATTCAGCACACAGGCCTTGAAGCAATGTTCAAGGCCCAGAGAGTAGGTCTTACTACCATAAGCCTCAGTTTCCTTGTGTACAAAATGAAACATGAATGTTTATTGTACAACATTCCAAAGATAACTTTGTGGCATGGGATGAAATGTATTTCTCCACTCTCCAGATGATCCTGTTTAATTTATCTCGTGTTTCCCAACTCTCCCTCCCCTTCATATGTGGGAAGAATCTAACAGTTAGCCCAGAAAGCAAAGTGGGACGTAGCTTCCAAATTACATTCATGACTATTTTACCAAAATGGTTAAACTGGCTTGAACACAAAGATGGTGGTAAAATGAATCTTGAGCCTTGACATTGGAGAACATAAGTGCAATGATATTAGACTCTCTAAATAAGATATGGTTCTAATGTTATCATAAAATGTTGGGTGATACCTGACTTCTAGCTTTTCCAAATATTTATAACCAGTAGATGCTCAAAACTGCAAAAGACCTAAATATATAAAGAACCCACATCTTGTCATCAGATCCCAGGATAAAAGAACTAAGCACAGAGAGAATTCAGTGACCACTCACTTCAAAAAGCTTTCTGTCCATTATGTAGACTTTATCTCCCTTAGGTCTCTTAATAAATTCATGTAGATATTAATATTCCTCTTCTATAAATGAGGCAACTGAGAATCGTGAAATTATCTTTAAAAATCTTAAAATGATATAATCAAAAATGACAGTGCAGAAATTGCAGTGCAGAGTTAGATGTCAAGTTATGTATTCCTACATCTGTCATTGCAGCTTCTTACAACTTTCAGAATCTAGTATTTTGACTTCCATTACTTGATCCTCACATTTGTCTTTCATGTTGGGTTTGAGATTCATGTCTTTTCCCCCCTCTAGCTGGAGAGTTTGAGGCTTGAGTAAAGCCAGTGTTCTGTGCAGTGTATGCAGAGATATACCTTGCTGTGAGAAGCAGGGTTCCATCCTGCAGACAGATGCTTAGAAACTCACCACAGGGAGAGGAGGGATCACAATCAGAACCAAAGGAAAGAAAAACAAAACAAAACAAAACATAAGTTCAATAGATATTGTTAATAGTCTTCCAAGAAGAAGACTGAACCCCACAAACTAGTAAATGGAAACCTCTACCTTCAGAGATTCTAGGAGAACCTTCAAGAGTTCCTTATATTTAACTACAACACAATGTTAGCCAGTCTTTTCATCCATTATTCCACTAAGGGAAAAACAAGTAAGCTTTCTTTTCTTCTGACAGAGTATGATTTTCCTCCCATTTCATCCGTAATGCGTTACAAAGATGTGCAATCATTTAAAGCAAAATGCCATCATCTAACTGGGAAGCTTTGGCTTGTGTGTAAAAGTTGAAGGTGGGCTGGCTGCAAATGGTTACCCTTTTTAGCATACACAGCTCAGGAACATATGGCACTAAAGAGCAAAGATGGGGGTTTCTCCACGCTAATCTGTACAGAGCTACAAACCTGAGTAAACTACTCTACATTGGACAGACAGACCAGGAGAGTTGAGAATGTAACCCTCAATGGAGGATACTCCAGAGAGCTAGAAATGCTTCCAATGGACACCTTAACTCAAGGCCATTCTAGGGACCACCTCTGTAAATGAATGAACCCATGAGTATTTGTGTAACATGAAGGGATCAGAGTTGCCTTTCTAGAGATCAAGAACAAATGCCATGGCGGGGGGGGGGGGGGAGTTTCTGGGAGAATGTGACATTCATAGTGCTAGAAATGAAGTGCAATGCAAAAAGGGAGAATGTTGACTTTGTATTCTAGCAGGGTCCTGGGACTTGTAGTCATTTCTCTGTGCCCGCCCTGCTCAGACAACACAGAGGTGGAAGAGACAGTGGCTGTATTGTTGACATCCTTTGCCAGAGACATTGCCCTGTTCTCGTTATTTAAATTTCAGTGATGTTTCCTTAATCGGTACTTCATTCTGCTTTCACCACAATAGCATAATGAATCTGAATACCTGGTGCCTGGATTGTGCCTGTGGTGATTTCTCCTTTTACTCTGTTAGCCTTAACTCCAGTTTTGCTTGATGTTGAGCCCAACAGCTCTTTTCTTCCCCTCACTCATGTTTGTCTCCTCTCTCTTTATCTCTTAATTTTCATCATGCCCACCCCTAGTTTTCAATAGACAACTCCTAAATCTGCAAAACACTAAAATCTGATGACTGAAAAACGTAATCTAACTCATAATATACCCTTGAAACCAGGGTATAGATGACATATGAGAGAGAGAAGCTCCTTGGGACTTGAGTCTGTCAGATGACAGGAATACAGAGATAACTTTGATACCCAGTATCCCCTGCAGGAAGCAGTGAGGATGTGGGCTTTCCGGGAGAGTGATGGGAGACTGAATGGTGGGGAAGAGTGTTGTTAGTCCAGAGAAGACCTAGGACCCAACAAGAAGAAAATGATTGCATGCATTTACCGTTGGCTTACAACTTGATAGGTGCTCCTTCAGAAGCTTCATATGACCTAACAAAGCTGAGGTGATGACTAGATCTCACACACACACACACACACACACACACACACACACACACACACACACATCACACAGCAAGGGCCTGGCCCATGATAACTGCTTAGTTGTTGCTGCCCTCCACTGCCCTCATCAAGGCAGGTGCTGCCCTTCTTGTTATTTTAATAACCTCCCACAGCCCTTCCCTAACAATCTATATAGCATGGTCCTGTGAGACCTAATTTTACTTCTCCTAATTTTTCTGAAAAGGAAAAGTCTTAGAAAAAAAATTTACAACTATTCTCTGTGCTTCTTGGGGACTCTTAGGATCCATGCTTATTGGGTAATGGAACCCAGTGCCATCTTCTTCCAAAGGTGCTCAAGGAGTCAGGTATTCTAGGACACAAGAAGCAAGGTTCTTGGAGTCATGGTGCCTCTTGCAAATAACAGTTGGAAAGCATTCTGATCAGTGTGGCCAAGTTGCCATTATGAGTGTAGAAAATGTTGATCATCAGGAAAGTGGCCATAATCCAGAGAACAATACTGCTAGAAAACATTGGCTTGCTGTCCAGGCAGAGCTGAAGCACTACCACAGGTTTATTGCATTTGAGGTTTCCCATAAGCTCTGGAGTTGTCCCTTGGTATTTGTGGAGAGTACCTCCTCAGAAACCCTAATCCATGAATGCTTGGGCCCTGACTTGTTGGTGTAGTGTTCACACACAGCCCTCTCCTGAGCACTTGCAGCTTATAACACCCAGCGTAATAAATTGCAATGTAAAATAGTGCCTATACTCATTGTTTGGGACTAATTTAGGGGGTGTCTTTTTGTTGGTGTTGTTCTTTGGTTTGGGTGTTTTGTTTTGTTTAATTGCACCAATTTGGAACAGACACACCAAGACAGACCTAAGGACTTTTGGTTGAACCTACAGAGGCAGAAGAGCCAGCTGTAATGATTTGGAGGGGGAAGGGCAACAAGAAAAGTGTTAAGAGAAACAGATAACTTTCCCCCAAATAAAAGCCAGTGAGATAATAGAAACTCAAACCTTGGCAACAGTATAATTAAAACTAAACACTGCTAAACCCCATGAGTCTAGGATCTATCTTCTAACAGTGGCATTGCACAATTCACACTCAGTAGGAGGAGAGTTGTGTAGCCTCAAGGACAAGCAGTAGGAGACCATGGAAGAGACAAGCAAGTTGTGAGGGTCTTTCTTCCTCATTGCCAGCAAGAATCATGTATTCACTATACCAGATATGCTTTCCACATTGTATTCCAAGCTAAGGATTATGCTTATGATACAAAGCATTAGGGAAATGAGGAGACATTGGTCAGAGAGACGAATCCTAAGTTATAAGTTGAATTCATTCTGGAGAACAAATGTATAAATGATGGCTAATCGTTAGGAACACTATAGTGTGGCTCTGAAAGTTGCTGAGGCCAGATCTTAAGTATGCTTCCCACATAACTGGCACTCACAGAGAAGTAACTCTGTATGGGAATGGATGTGTTCATTTGATTAAGTTAAACATTTCACAATGAATACATACATTAAATGATGCTAGTTTTCTGTCACAGTAAGGAAATACCCAAGGTAGTCAGCTTGCAATGAGGGAAGGTTGTCTTGGTTTCCTGTTGGGCAAGTTTCAATCTCATTTGTTGGGAGGAGACTCTGATGGTTTAGTATACCATGGTAGAGAAGACCTGTTTACCTCAGGCTGCAATGGGAAGGGGGAGATAGAGCAAGCTCATAGCTGCACCACCCAAAAGCTCCTTCAAGGGCATGCACTCAGTGACCTCACGTCCGTACGTTAAGCCATATCTCTTAAACATTCTACTACATCTGAAAGTCTCTTTTAAGGCATTAAATACAAATAAAATGATCAGGAATGAAGACGGTCCTGATGTGACTTCTCAGTTGAATGACTTGAAAACATGAGTTTGTTTCATTAAATTTTCCAGATAGCTCCAGTTCATCTCAAAAAAACTATTTTGTTAAACATTCTTCTGGATTACTTGATATTGAAATCATGGTTGTTTACTAAAAGATAGTAGTTTATTCATTTCTGGGAGCAAGGAGCACACTCCTTGCTCCTGAGCCGTCTTTGACATTCCATTCCCTCAGTCCACAGTATTCTGTGGAACCTCATTCTCACAAGAGCCAGGTTGTTTCCAGTGTTCTCCCCCAGGCACCAGCTATCCAACACTGTATAAGAGTGCTGGGAGCCAAAGCTATCTACCGAAGCCAAAGTCAAAGCTATCTAGTGGCGCCAAAGCTATCTACTGAAGCCTAAGTCAATTAGTGAGTCAAAGCTATCTAGTGGTGTTTACTAGGCCAAAGCCAAATAGTGAGCAAAGGTCATTTAGTGGAGACCTAAAGCTATTTAGTAAAAGTTATCTAGGACCCTAACTCATGGGTTGTCCTAGATGTCTAGGATGTCCTAGACTATGAGGACATCCGTTTGTTAGAGCATCCTTGAGAAAACATCCCTATGGTATCTTGCAGGTACCCTATTTAACACATGAAAGCACTCTTCCTGTCTCCTGCAGAAGCTAATTACCTTCCCCCTTTTCCTGCCTTCTCCCTATATAAGTTGGGTAAAAATTTCTAATAAATGAAGCCTTGATCAGACAAACAGACTTGGCTTCCTTCCTTGTGCTTCTCATCCTTTTCCCCCATTCCTTCCACTCTCCTCCCTTAGGAACCCATGTTGAAGCCCTGTGGGCCGGGGCATAAGAGGACAAGAAAGGAGCACAAGCTGCTGGCTTTGCCCTGCAGTTAACACCCAGGTAGCTATGTGAGTACAGCAACAACTCCATGGCAAGCACCACACCTGGGCAGGCTGTCCCTGCAGGGCTATGGCCAAGGAGTCGGGGGAGGACCTTAGAACAGCTTATCCCTTCCTCTCGGTGTGGCTGTGTGGCAAAAAGCCCTCAGAACAAATTCTAGACAGCAGGACACAGCCATCTGGGTACCAAAAGGCATACAGATATTTCTGTATGAAGAGTGGACATAAGCAAAGACTTAAAGTAAATTCTGACCTGATTGGTCAGTTGGGTTAGTGAGTGTTAAACAAATGACCAGACAATAACCAACAAATATTTTGCAGCATTAACCTCATTCCTAAAATTCTCTGTTCTATGAGTGTTTAAAAAACAATGACCACCACCATCTATTTTTCTTATATAAGTTCTCTTTGTCTAAAACATAAGCTTACATACCCTCTAAAGAGACAGAGAGGAACAAGTAATCCTTATCTTCAAAGCTCTTGATACGATTCTCAGCCTGGATTACTTGTCCCACTGAAATTCCATCGATCTTAGAATGGCAGCTGTTTTACAGCCACAGAATTTTAGACTTGTGGCTGAGCACAGAGCCTCCAGGGGCAACCCATGACTGCCTGCACCCAGAAGTCAAGCTGGGGTGAATCAGGTGCCACCCACACGGTTCTCAGGAAGACACTGCCACTCAGGATACAGTACAATAGCTGATGGAGAGGAACTCTTCCCTCCCAGGAAGAAACACACTCTCCTGAAAGCAGCCCAGAGACAGACGCCAGCAAAGCATGTAAAGCCGAGGGAACATGGGAACAGCTCAGAAGGCCTTGTCTGTGGTCTGTTTAAGTGTAAAGAGCTCCATAGCACATTTTTGTGTTTTGTTTTTTGTTTTTGTTTTTTTTTTTTTTCTGTGATGTAGGGCCCTATGTGTGCTCAGTAAGTGTTCAAACACTCAAGCTTTTCCTTCAGCTCTGTGTTTTTAGTTTTGATCTTGGGATTTATTTTGCTTTCAGTAAGTTGTCATAAGAGGCCTTGAGCTCACATTTCCTTTGCTCCTCTCTCCCAACTAGCTGGGACTATCAGCCTATGCCACCAGCCCAGCTGGCTTCTTTCTTATCCACCTCCCTCCCTTCCCCAACCTCTTTTATTCCTATGGTGGTTTAGTTTCTGTCCTAAAATGGCTGTGCAGGCTCCATACTTCATTGTGATCACATACTCTACTGAGAGAAAATAATTTCAGCTAATCCACATAAGCAGCTGCCATGAAACTAACTCTCTTTTAAGAGATTCTCAAACGTTTACAAAATACCTAGAGAGAGAAAGATAGGCTCTTAATTTCTGAGGTTTATTTTGCTATTATTGAAAAAAAAAAAGAAGAAATGTTAATGTTGGTTCCAAGGTAGGCTGCAGAAAGAGGAGACCATACAAAGGCCAGGATAAACATGTAGGAGGGAGCAGTGGTGAATGGCAGGGGCTGGTCATGCTGCACCAGCCTTCATTAAGCTCCTCTGTAGTGGCAAAGCTAGTACCTGTGAGACTTTGGAAGACAAGGACACCTAGTGCAGGGATGATGGGGACTTTGCCGAGGGGAAAAAAGATCTTATATGGAAGAAGCAACTCTCCAATATTGCACACTCTCCAACTGGGTCATCTGATGCCTTCCTGCACTTACACGATTCCAAGACAGCCACACAGTCTAGCTAGAGTGTATGCCTAGAGTACTCACTGCCTTTAATCCTGGGCACTTCAAAATCATGCTAGTGGATATTCACAGCACTAAATAGCCCATTGGGTTTTGTTTCATAAGCCGCAACACCAGTCTGATGAGTCACAAAAAAATTCTGAATTATCTCCCATGCATTTGGTTGGCCTGGGATTTATTTAAAGAAGTATTTAGACAGGGCAGTAAAGTGTTTCAGTCCAGAGCAGGTAAGCAAGCAAAGGCTCATATACATGTTTTTGTTGTTTTGGGTTTGTTGTTGTTGTTGTTGTTGTTGTTGTTGTTTTTAACCAGGAGATGACCTTGTGATCAGAACCCTGGCATTTTCTCATGGCTTCCCCTCAGCAGAGGTTTGGAGCCTCTGTTTTGTCACGGGCAGGTAGCTCTTAAATCCTAAAGGTACCTTGGATTTGCCCTGTGCAAAACCCACAGTTTCCAGCAAAAAAACTCCCCCAGGAAATTCTTTTAAGATGTCACCTTGGAGAATCTCCGGAAGCCTGCACAGAAGAGCCCCCACACCTGGCTGGCTCGCTCCTACACACACACACACACACACACACACACACACACACACACACACACACTGCCTACCCCTCAGCTCCCAGCCCGCCACCGCTGCAACCTGCCCCCGAACTCACCTTATGATGACAAACATGACCAGCGAATTGCCCACCAAGCCCACCACGAACACCACAGAGTAGACAGCGGTGATGATAACAGGGATGGCCGGAGAGACGTGCGCGGTCTCCAGCTGCTGCTCCTCAGAGCCCATACTGCCATTGCTGTCCGATTCTGCCCATGGGACCCAGGCACTGCTGTTGGGGAGTAGGCAAGCACTCGGGGCGCAGGTGGGGCCTGGCTCCCCGCGGAAGATCTGGACCGGGGACTCCATGGTGAGGGTTGCCGCTGGAAAGCGGGGAGCGGTGGCACCTGCGGGGCTGCGGGAGCAGAGGACAGACTGGAACCAGAGAGACAAACTTTGCCTGTGCAGGGATGGCAGGATCCCGCAAGCCCTGCGCTCAGTCTGGCGGCGCAAACCCAGGAAGGGGCAGGGAGGATTACCTCTTGTTGGAGCACCCCTCCCACCTCGCACCCCCACCCCCACCCCCACCCCTGCTACTAAACTGAGGGTATTTGCACCTTCCAGGATCTCTGAGGTTTCGCGTCGCCCTCAGGCGCTGTCCACTCCAGTGGCTGTCCCTACCCTGCCTGTCTGCGCTTGCAACCAAAAGGAGCACCCAGCTACCTCGCTGCACGAGAGCAGCAATTACCCCACCGTGCCTGGAGCTCACCTCCCAATCGCGGATAGGAGACCTCGCGTCCTAATTCACCGTCAGCCTTCTAGGTCGCCACTTTACCTCCTGAGTAGCCACTCTGCCTTGATGGGTCACATCCCCGTAGCTCAGTGAGTGAGTGTCTCCCACGACTGGAATCGGATGCTCTGCCGGGAGGGATGCAGCCAAGACGTGGTCGGGCTCAGGGGACCAGCAGGCTGAGAGCAGCCTGGCTGGCCTCCCCCGCCCCGCTCCCCATCCCCGCCCATGCCATCGCCGCCCTGCCCCACCCCCTCAGCGCTGACCCAGGCCCCTTTGCTCAGTGGCTGCTGCTAACTCAACTGCCCCAGCTGCTTACTCCCTCCTTCCTCCCTGCCACTTCCAGGTAGCAGCGGACTGGCGCTTAGCTAAGGTCTAACAGAAAAGAGCGTCCTGTGCAGCGCCAAGAGTGCATGGGATCACTCACAGTGTTTGGAATTTCGTTGTCTTCATAGTTCTAAGGAACAGTCCCTTTTTAGGCAAGGAGACAAGCCGTAGTGCTGGATTTTATTTCTTGGAAGAACCAAATAAACTTACAGAATAATCGAGTCAAAATCAAACAGGTCATACAGAGTTAGCGGTTTAAGATGCACGAGTAGAAAGTTTCTGTGCGTCTTGTCACCCTCTCTGCTCTGATTAGAATGGCAGGCTACAAGAAAGCTGTGCTTACAGGCTCTAACATTATTGCCAGCTCTTACTGGAGCAACTCTTCTTACCCAGGACCCACTGCTGCAGCAGGAGAGTAACTGTGTTTATCCTCAGCCATGAAGTCCTTGCCTCCTTTACTAAACGGAGAGAACTCAAAGCTGAGAGGGGAAACAGCCTCCGCCATGTGTGGGTAACGGACAGTCCAAATGTCCCTGTCAGAGTCTGGTGGGCAAAAGAGGTCCTGAAAGAAAAGTTGCTCAGGTAGGGATCCAGAGTGGGTCCTTAAAGAAGATTCCAGAAGGAAAGGGAGTACTGTAGGACTGGAGCCACCCAAGGCTGAGGCACTCGAATTTTACCAGGGGTTCCAAGGTGTTAGACAAACTGGGTCCCCGCTATTTCTCATAATGCACATCATGCCCACAGAAGGGCATTGAATGGCACACTCAGCTCTTCTGTGTATTGGATGATAGTAGAAGGGGGATCCTTAAACTTTCAGTGCATACTAGTTGTCCCTCCGAGTTACAGATGTACAATTCTATTTACTCCGCTATATTAAAAGCAAGAGGGGCACTCCTCTTTGTCAACAGTGCATTCAACCCCAAGCTCTGATGATCATTATCAAGCCTTGGGAACTCTCATTTGTAAGAGTACTGGCTGGTTTTTGTCAATGGGACACAAACCTAGATGTATCTAGAAGAAAGGAGCTCAGCTCAGAAAATGCCTCCTTAACATGTCATGTAGGGACCCGGAAAGACCAGCAAGGTATATATTCATTTATAATTGGATATTAGCTATAAAATAAAGGCTAATCATGCTACAGTCCATAGACCCACGGAAGCTAAATAACAAGAAGGTTCAAGGAGGGACACACGGCCCTCTCTGGGAAGAGGTGAACTGGCAGCAAGAGAGGATGGGGATAGGAGAGATGTGGTTGGGATGGAGGGAGAATGTACTGGGAGAGAGAACAGGAATTGGGAGTCATTTGGGGGCAATCTGGAAGCCCAGTGCAATGGAAATTCCCCAGAATAGACTAGGGTGAGCCTGGGGAGTAAATTACTAGTAACAAGCCTGAACCAGCCCTCTCCTGAAACCAGACAAGACTTCCAGTGCAGGGACTGAGACATCAACTCAGCCAAAAACCCTTTAACCTACAATTTGCCTTGCGTACAAGACGGGCTATGGTAACAGCAGCACAGAAGTTGTGGGAGCCTGAGACCCATGGATGAGAAGGAGCCCATGACTGACACTGCCTGGAGGGCTAAGAACCAGAGGCAAGAAAGTCCAGAGACCTAGAATAGAACTAAACACAACTGGCAAAAAGAGGTAGATGAAATGATTTCTAATGATATTCTGGTATACTCTAGACAGAGCCTAACATAATCGTCATCAGAGAGGCTTCATTCAGCAACTAACAGCAATAGATACGGAGACCCACAGCAAGTATTAGGTGGAGCTTGCGGTGGACCTGTGGGAAGGAGAGGAGGGATAGTTTGGGCCAACGGAGTCAAGGACATCACAAGAACACAGCCCACAGAATCAGCTAACCAGGGCCCATAGGGGCTCACAGAGATGGAAGCATCAGGGAGTCTGTATGTGTCTGAGCTAGGCCCTCTGCATATATCTTATGGCTGTAGAGCTTTGTGTTCTTGTGGGACTCCTAACAGTGGGATCAGGGGCTGTTTTTGACTCTTTTGCCTGCTTTTGGGACCCCTTTCCTCCTACTGGATTGCCTCATCCAGCCTTGATATGAGGGTATGTGCCTATTCTAATTGTAACTTTATATGTTACATGTTTAGTTGATATACCCTTTTCTGAAGGGAAACAGAGGAAGAGTGGATCTGGAGAAGAAGGGAGGTAGTCAAAGGGAGGGACTGGCAGGAGTGGAGGGAGGAGAAACTACAATTGGAATGTAATGTATGAGAGAAAAAAAAGAATGGATAAATAACTAAATAACTAAATAGAATGGTCTATAGGCAAGTCTGGGGGACATTTTCTTGATTAATGATTGGGTCTAGCCCACTGTGGGCAATGGCACCTTTAAACAGGAAGTCGTAGGGTACATTAAAAAGCAAGTTGAGGGGCTGAAGAGATGACTCAGTGGTTAAGAGCACTGGCTGCTCTTCCAGAGGACTTTGGTTCAATTCCCAGCACCCACATGGCAGCTCACAACTGTCTGTAACTCTTGTTTCAGATGATGTGACACCCTCACACAGCCATACATGCAGGCAAAACATCAATGTACATAAAACAAAAATAAATAATTTTTTTAAAGAAAGCAAGTTGAGCAAACCGTGGGGAGCAATCCAATAAAGAGCACTCCTCCATGGTATCTGCTTCATTTCCTGCCTCCAGGCTCTGGCCTTGAGTCTCTACTCTGACTTCCCTCAAGGATGGAGCTATAAGCTGAAATAAACCCTTTCCTCTCCAACTGCTTCTGGTTATAGTGTTCATCATAGCAGTAGAAACCTAACACATTGTTCTGCAAACACTGGCCTCCAGTGAAGCATGATGAATCCAAGGCCACCCTATCCAAAAGGAAGATGGCAGAATCTTTGTTTCATGCCTTGAGGATCACTTCCTACCACAGAGGTGATTTATTGCCATCAAACAAGCTCATCAAAAGATGTTTCACTGGAAATGACAAAAACTAAGCAATTTTGCAATTGTAAAGAAGTTAAAAATAGTTTTCCAAAGAAAATATTAGTCAATAGAGAATTACCCACGTCTCTCATCTATTTAGTATTTACTTATCTGGAATGTTGTGCATTCAGTTCACAAAAGGCCTTTTTGCCACACACTTTTGAAGTTTGTCTGTATCACCTCACTTCTTTTCGCTCTTATTTCCACATTGCCCATCTTCTTTTCTTAAATGTAGGTCATTCACACAACTGGTAATGCAGAATCAGGGTTCAAACTTAATGTAACCACGGCTCTTGTCATGTGCTGGCCAAAGAGAACTGTCCATTTGAGAAGAGAAATTCAGAGCCCTTTTCCCAAGACACAAATTTAGGAGAGAGATATTTAGTGAAGGTAGAAAATAAAAAAGACACTTTTTTTTGGACAAGATATATGTGAAGTTTTAAAGATGAACATTACAAAGCACTCATGAAATCTGATAATTCAAATTTTCCAACTCCCATTTATATATATATATATACATAATTTATATAAAATTATATATATACATAATTTCTATAAAATTTTATCTATGTATATATGGTGTGTGTGTGTGTGTGTGTGTGTGTGTGTGTGTGTGTGTATGTGTGTGTGTGTGAGTTCTGCAGACTCTCTGGTGGATTGGTTATAGAACCCTGTAGATAACAAGCTGCAGAGATTCTAAGTCATTCACATAGATACTGTAGTATTTGCATGCAGTCTATGCTTAGTGCCCCTTTTATTTCAAGTCATCTCTAGGTTCATCATAAAACTTCTCACAAGAAAATGTTTTATGAATAGTTGTATTTTGTCATTTACAAAATGTTGACAAAAGGTTTCTGTGCATTCAGTAGAAAAAAATGAATTAAAGAAAGGTTTTATCAAGCTCTGGTTGAGTCTGTGACTGTAAAACTCATCAACAGAGATAGCAGGCTATAAAGAGTGAGGATAAAAGGGCATCTCTGGGATATGCTATAAAATCGGGAGGCATCTCTCAGCCTGGGACCTCCAAATGTAAAATATAAAGTGATATGCTAATTCTACCACTAGTAGGAAATCTTTCCAAGTTGAAACAGTTGTTGGGAGACAGAAGACACTAAAGGTAATAAAAATGACTTGTTTTATTTTCATACCCTACGTTTCACCCTCTTTTAAATCAAATTAATAGCCCAAATAAAGTGACTTCAATATAGGAAGAACACTGAGATCCTGGAGGTGTCTCCCTTTGCCAGGAGACCTGCTGGCTCGGAATGAGGTAAGCATCGCTGTTTCTGTCGGTTTGAGCTCTCAGGAGCATGAAATTTTAATCATAATATTAGGTAAAACATAAAGGAAATAAACAACCAGACTGGCTGTGCACTACTAGATACTGTTATGAAGCACATATAATTAATTAACTTCATAAGATTGAAGCTGTAATTTGGCAGTAAAGAGCACTGGCTGCTCTGCTAGAGGACACATTCTCAGCATGACATGGTGGCTCACAGCTATTTGGATCTCAAGTTCCTGGGGATTCTCTGTGAGTACAAGGCACATACTTGGTGCACAGACGTACATCCAGGGAAAGCGCCCGTACACATAAAATATTAAAATAGGTAAGTAAATAAATCCACTAATACTTTTACGTTACTTGCTATTGTACCCCATGCAAATGTCATGGTGAGACCTACAAAGAAAATGTTAGCACTGTGTAGCGCCTTGGGTGATGGGCATCTGTGACATTCCTGCTCAGAAGACTGGAGAAGCCCTAGCCAGCTGTGAATCATTTGATTTCTCCTGGCT